GGGGAAATGGTTTTAAACTAAGCAGGGGATGTTTAGGTTAGATATTAGGAGGAAGTTTTTCACTCAGAGGGTGGTGACACACTGGAACAGGTTGCCCAAGGAGGCTGTGGATGCCCCATCCCTGGAGAAATTCAAGGCCAGGCTGGATGTGGCTCTGGGCAGCCTGGTCTGGTGGTTGGTTGGTGAGTCTGCACATAGCAGGTAGGATCTTTGAGGTCCTTTCCAACACAGGCCATTCTATGATTCTATGATTCTGAAGGGAATCCATGGCTACAAAGAGAAGAAATATTTTTTAGAGCTGTTTGTTAAGGTAAGATAGTAATTCTTAAGTTTTGTGTAAATTTAAACAGAGTATCGAGTGTTTCTTCAGTCTTGTGTCTGCTGCCTCTGTGAATACTTCCTTGTGAGTTTGCCTCTGAACTGTATATTGTTTAATTTTACTGCAGGTGGAAAAGGCATGGGAGGTTGGGAAGGAGGGATCCGTGTGCCAGGAATATTCAGGTGGCCAGGAGTGTTACCTGCAGGCATTGTTATCAATGAACCTACGAGTCTGATGGATATTTTTCCCACGGTTGTTCATCTGGCTGGAGGAATATTGCCACAGGACAGGTATGGAGATATTTTCAGTAGGAGAAATTGAACGGAGAGTTATCAACTAAATAATTTCAGTGTTTTGGGTTTGTTTTTTTTAATAATCCAAGGAGATCTCCCATCTATACTGTAGTCTCAAGCCCAGTCTAAGATTTTAAACTCAAAAGCAACCCTCCCTCTCTTCTCCATACACACCTGGATATGCCCACAGGTATGCGTGTGGCCACAAGTCTTGTTCATTTCTAAACAAAATTCAGCATTGCTCAGGAAAGAATTGATGGCTGAAGTTGTTTTGGTATCAAATTACCAAAGCTATGGACACATACAGACTCCTCCTAACAACATGAAGCCCATACTTGTTCAAAAGATTTCTACAAACTCCTTTGAATTTGCTATATATAAACAATTATGGGATCAGTATCAATTTGTCTGAATAAAGAATATTATTCCAGTAGACCAAACCCTAAATACTGTGTATGTATTACTAACTGGAATAAGTTTCTCCATATCTTTTGAAAATAGCAAATTAACTCAATAAATTAAAAAAGTCTAAAGGATTTAAAATGTTGGCCTGACAATCTGCTGGCTGTGACAATATACAGTTAACTCTGTCAGGTTTGTCCCTTCCTGAATATTCATTACATTAGGGTAATCGACGGACGAAACTTGATGCCTTTACTCCAAGGAAGAACTCAAAAGTCAGAGCATAAGTTTCTCTTTCACTATTGCGGATCCTACTTGCATGCAGTGCGATGGCACCAAAAGGACAGTAAGTGTAAACGTTTCGCGTTAACTACGGTATAAGATTTCTTCTCTTGATATCTTTCTTGATGTATGACGGATTTCTTGCATGATGACATTTATCTGTATTGATCTCTGAGATTTTTGAAATTGTTATGCATTATATACCAGTAATTCTCGCTAGCTGGAGCTGTCTTACAGCTAAAAAATACTTGTAAGTAATAACGGAAATGCATTATAGGAAGTGGGATGGAAATAGAAGCTGGCTGCCTACTACACTTGAAGCCTGATACGTCTTCTTGACTGTTTTCTATCTTCAAACTCAGTACTTGGTGCAGAGAATGTTATCTGTGGTGATGTGAAAGCCAGGGTTTGTGACAAGATGTCTCCTTAGTAAGCAACCACTGCTTGAAGACGATTCATCTTTTCCTCTACTGTCTTGTAGTTGTGCCATAAGATTTCTTTTCTGACAGGTGGAGTTGTCTGGAAGGCTCATTATGTGACCCCAGTCTTTCATCCAGCTGGGGCTGGGGCTTGTTATGGAAAAAGAATTTGCCCATGTTTTGGGGAAGGCGTGACCCATCATGACCCTCCACTGCTGTTTGACCTCTCACGAGACCCTTCTGAGTCCCAGCCTCTGTCAGCTGACACCGAGCCCCTCTTTGACACTGTAATCGAGCAGATTGGGAGAGCCATTGAAGAGCACCGCAGGACACTGACTGCAGTCCCACAGCAGCTCTCCAGGTACAACATCATCTGGAAGCCATGGCTGCAGCCCTGTTGTGGGATGTTCCCATTCTGTTGGTGTGATAAAGAAGGTGAAAACACACAGAGTTTGTGAGATGGATGACTGCTAACATGTCCTTTGGCACTGAATCCTTTGCTGACCAAGCGTTCAGAAAATAATCATGTCCTTTGTCTTGCAAGCCCAGTGAATGAAAATAAAGTAATTTTGAGTTGAGATTTACTCTTTTATTCTTTACCACTAAACAAAAGTTTAAGGAAATCCTGTCCGGTGTGGTAAAGGACTGGAGTGGAGACAGTTTTTTACAGATTTAGATCTAAGAGACAGCTGTAGAGGGATATGCCTATATTCTGTCTAGCTTATGCCTGCCCAAGCAGGACAATTTGGAGAACTCCAAAGAAACCCTAGTATGTCATGCTGACTTAGATAAATCTCTGTATGATTGCAGTTGTGCTTCTGTGGTCTATGATTCATGGGCATTCCCTATCCAACATAGCAGTTTGTTGTTATTGGTTTCTGCATTTTTCTATCATCTTTGCAGAAGTATTATTGAGATGTTGAGTGATTGTGATTTTGTCAGGGATAGTTCTCATGCAACTTTACTTGATTGACAATAACACATATCACAAAAAAATATGAAGTTGGAAATGTTGAAGACCAGTATAACTCTGCAATAGTGACAAAGAAGAGGGAAGCAATTTGCTCTTCAGTAGGAGGTCCTGATGCAGATTATGTTGGCATACAGTAGTTTTACTGTATAAAAGTTGCCAATAAAGATGTTTTGGATAAATACCATGCACTGTTTCATAGTCAGTTAGCAAAATGTGGTCCTTTTGAAGCTCATAAGAGTTAATGTTTAAAATATTTGGCAGTCATATGCCTATATTTACAAACCATAGCTCCTAAGAAGGGATCATGCCAGTTCTAGTTTAAAAGAAAACAAGAACCAACCAACCAAGCAAGCAAAAACCTAGTGGTATGACCCTAGCTAGGCTTTCTATGGAGGCACATGACTGTACTGAAGATTTCAGTGAAATTGCAGAGACTTTAATGCTTTAAGCTGTACTATTGACTGTTCCTCACAGGATGTATATGAAGTCAGGTTTTATTATAAGCATACTGCTAAAACTCTGTACAGAAATTGGGTTTTGAAGTGAGTTAACAGAAAGTGATTGTTTACAGATTTTGCAGATATATTTTTTTCTCCCCTTACAGCTGCCCCTGCAAACATTTTACTTGCTCAGCCAGTCTATTTGCTTCATTTTTCTTATCTCAGTGTTTTTTCATTAGCATTTCTTAGAGATGATGCAAATTTCTGTTGTGTCATTTCAGTCTGTTGTTTCTTTACTACTACAGAAAACTTGTCAAGGTTATAAGGGGATATATGAACGCCTGCACTTCCTTTTAGTACCCAGACATGAGAAAAAATAGAGTGCCAGTATAAAGCACCCAGTAACTCAAAATTAAGCTTTTGCTGGCAGAGAATTTGCAGTAGTGAGGAAAAAATATCTCCCTGTGCTTTGGTGCAGTGAAAAAATTCCAAAAACTGAAAAGGAGGAAATAGTGCAGGGCTCAAAATGTATGGAAATGTAATGTCCTTTCTGCTTCATTGCTATAAAGCTTTTTTTTTTTTCCTTTCTTATAAAAGGTCTTGGTTCAAAGCTCAGTTGTGCTCAAGACAATACATAATCACAGCTGTTACCTTTGCAGTGGGGCACTAACATAGTAGTTAGTAATAGGATGTAAGGGCTATACAGGCAGAATGCCCTTCCATTTCCAGAAATAGATTTGTAATGAGAAGAAAATTCAAAGCTTGTTTGGTTTTTTTTTGTTGTTGTTTTGTTTTTTTTTTATATTTAAAGACAAGCCAGCAGCAGCATGGGCACATCTTCGGTAGTCATCTCATGGTAAGAACAATGGAAGCAGCCTAGAAAAGCTGAGAGAAAAGTTTAGTTATCATTTGGACCAAAGACAGATGTAAATTAATACTTAAATTATTGGGAATTTTTAAAGAAACACCTTTCTCAAAGTATGGGGTAATTTTCAAGACAGACAATTTTTCAAGGGAAAGCTTTGCACCAGAAATATTGCAAGCTGTTACGTAACTGCACTAAACAAGTATTATCTTCAAATAGGTTTTTGCAAAAGCAGACAAATTTGGCAACATACGTCTTATAAGGATAACCAAACATAGCTATGTGTTCGAGGAGATGAACAAAAATCTTTCTCCAGCCAAAGCTATCCCTTCCAATGTATTATATTAACCTGCTAGTTTAAACTGCTTCACTGGACCCCTGCTAATTTATCTCGAGTACAATGTTAACTTTGGCACTCACAGTGCTCAAGGGACCAGAGGAGCTAGAATGTCAACAAGTGAATAGAAACGTGTTTCTCTCATTACTCAAGATCTTTGAAAGGATAAAGTGCATCACAACAGATCTGACTTCTGAAAGAAGTGGATGTGGGGAAGGGGAATACTTTACCTTCAGTTCCTGGGAAAGACATCTCATTTAATATCTTCAGTGCAGGTAGGTTTAGCTTACCTGAAAATGCAAAGAGAAAGAAAAGACAACACGAAAGAAGAAGGGGAGGACAAGCCAGTCCTCTTATCCTGCTTGAGAGGTCAGAAAGCAGGGTAGAAGAAATAAGACCACAGGACTCCAAGTTTGATTTTGTAATCCTTTGAAGGATTTTGGAGGCACTGCAATTGAGCAGTGCCAGGCTTTACATGGATCTGCACAGAATTAACTGGATAGGCAGCCCAGAGAAGGCAGTGGCTATGTTGTGTCACTGTTTAAAGAATAAAGACTTTGTACTCTATCTGGAATTTGTGTGAAAACTCAGAGGCGGTCCCGCTCACTGCTCCTGGCAGACATCCCAATGGCTTCTGCATCCAGAACTGGGGGAAGGGAGATGGAAAGCAAACACAGTAAATCCACTCCCACTTCCTCCCACACACATCTCAGGGGATCAGGCTGTTTAGCGAACCAGAGAACAAGAAGGAATTCCAGAGCAGGAAGAAGAATTTGTTCTCCATGTTGTTAAAAGGAGCTGGCTTGTTTTTGCAGGACTTGGTGTTTATTGTGGCTTACTGGAAATTGCTATCTGCTGTTTTCTTGGATTTCTGTAAGTTCCGCAGTACAACAAGGTTCAACAGTAAGTTGCTGCGCTGATTCCTAGAGGATGGTGCTTTTTGGAGTTATGGATTACAGATTTGTTCTTTTAGTTTAACAGCTAAGGAAACTCGACAAGCCTTAGGCCCCAGTACAGTGTTTGTTGCACTCACGGTGATGTGTGAGCATCACGGGAGCACAACTTTCAGAAGGAATCAATCTCTAAGAGAAAAAGCTGAATATACATACTATTTAAATTGATTGTTTTCTTTTTTTTTTTTTTTAAAAAAAGGTATTTCTTCTATCCCTTCAATAGGGACACTGTTTGTAAAATGGCCTGCAATAAATCAAGGAGCACCACTTTTTATTGTGTCGCAGCCAGTGCTATTAAGACTGAAATGTCTTGCAGTGCTACTCAGCTTCTCAGTTGACATTGCAGTGTTGTTAAGATTGTACCAAGTCTCAGTCTAAACGTGGCTGTAACTGCTGTCAGCAGTCAACTGTAGCACATGAAACTCTGGGGATGCAGTGGAAGGCAGCAGAGGTGCTGGACCAGCTTGGAAAACTTCTCAACACCCATAGGAACGAAAGAGAAAGAAGGGTAGCAAAACAAGGATTTCTTATGGTCTGGATATTTCATATTTTGATCACCTTTCACAGTGAAGAAATTAATATTTTTAATTTAATTCAGTGTACAGCAGAGAGATGAAGTTTGCCAGTACCAGAGCAACCAATTTATCCTGTGCATCTGGATGATTGTTTACACAGTTCCTGTGCAACATTTTCTGCAGATTTCTTGCTCTGCATCTATTCACAAGCAAAAAGAGTGCATTCCCCAAGCCATTTTTTGTCCAAAGCAACTAGCTCTACCTTTTATTTCAGCAAGCATAGGAAATTGCTTCCACTTATGAAGTGTGCCTCGAAAAGAAAAAAACAGTATATTTAGAAACAGAAAGGTTATTTTTAGGCTTTGAAGTCCAAGGTTAATTCACAGAGTTGGAAGGTAGAAAAATGGGGCTGTTAAACTTATAAATGGCATTAAATTTGGAAGTTCTTTATCATAATGATATTTATGTTTCTGGAGAGTTTTTAGTAACGTTCAGGTAGAAGCACCTCCCTAAAGGCAATAGATGGCATCCAAATCTGAGAGTGTCACATTCATTCCCTAAGAGTTGCACAGTAATTACTAGTTCCCAGGCTGGCTTTTATTTGAGGCATATTTTGTAATTTCTAAGCTCAGTAAGGATTAGTTTATTTTCCTGAAGTTAAAATACAGTTTGATGTTACATAAAGAGTGAGACACTAGATTTACATATCACTGCCTCCTGTTTCACTTAATAGAAACCCTCATTTCAGTGAAGATCAGCAGTTTTGTGCTTCTATTTAGTAACCAACATCTTTAACACCGGTTTAAAGTATTTAGTGCTCTTGCCAAACATGAGTCTGAAGTTAATGGCAACTGAAAGCAGGCTGGATCCTGTAATGCTGCACGCTGAGCAGTGCCCTCAAAAGTGCTTTCTCCTACATTGCAGGGTCTGCTCAAGAAGGCTCTGCAAATAGACGTTCAGAAAGTTGGAGGCTGCACTGGCAAGCCCTAGTGCACTGCATTCTTGTTGTCAGCCACAGCACTGGCAATGTGGTTGTGATAATACAGGGTAGTTAATAAGCAGCTTCTCAGACAAGGTCACCAGAGCTGCTGGGCTCTCATTTTTTTTTTACTTTAAATATTTTTTAATTTTACATATATTTTTCTTTTTTTTTTTTTTTTTCCTTTAACCAGAATCATATGACAAATGATGTGCCTTTTTCATACAAGGGGAAGCCATGAAGTTTACCAGGGAAGACAGCGGTAAGAAAATGTATGCACTGTGGAATCTTTCTTGTATTTTTAAATGTTGTGCGTAATAAAATGTAAACAGATCTCTGAAAAATAAAAATTGTTGAGAATCAAAGAGCAGTTAATATTGATTTAGAACTAGATCTTCTCATAGAATCATAGAATGGCTTGGGTTGGAAGGGATGTCAACAATCAAGGCTCATCAAGTTCCAATGCCCCTGCCAACAGGCAGGGCTGCCAGCCACGATCAAGTACTAGACTAGGCTGTCCAGGGCTTCATCCAGCCTGGCTTTGAACATCTCTAGGGATGGGGCATCCATAAACTCTCCAGGTAGCAGTTCCAGCACCTCACCATCTCTCTATAAAAAAAAATCCCCCTGACATCTAACCCAAATCTCCCTTCCCTTAGTTTAAAACCATTCCCCTTTTGAGGCCTTTAAGCCTGTTTTTGTTTTTTGTTTTTTGTTTTGTTTGTTTGTTTATAAAAGGCAGAGGTTTAGGAGCATAAGTACTGTATTACATTAAATATAGATTTATCACATTGTGCTATCTCTTAATGAACTAGTAGTCAGTAGATGTTTTCTAGTACATGTGCTTTATTTCAGGTGAACTACTTCTCACAAACGTGTTGAGCAACTAAGATATGTGCTGAGATAGATTTCTAGGAAGATACCCAAGGTTAAACCCATTGCTGCAACTTTGCTTCTGCAGATGGTACATAAATGTGGTGCTGTTTTTAGCACTGTGCCCAATGGATACAGTACTCAAGCTATTGCCATTTTAACCAGTTGCATGGCAAAATTTCTGCTCAAATGAAATGAAAAAGTACTGGTTTCAGAAAATATTCACGAGCTCCATCTGCAGGAAGTATTTGGTAGCTCCTTGCATCTGGTCAATCTTAATACTCTAATAATTAAAAGTACATTATAAAGCTTGCAAACATTTTTTTTTTCTTTCCATTTTAATTTTAACTTCAGGAGCTGCCTAAGTATTTGGCTCATTTTGTGCTTGTCTCTAAGAACCTGTATATCAAGTCCTCCAAAACCCAATTTTTTACTGATACTGGCTGATGATCTTGGCATTGGAGATATGGGTTGTTATGGCAATGATACTATCAGGTAAGAATTCTACAAAATAAATTACGCCATCCTGGTAAATTTCAGTGGGAAAAAAACCCTGCAGTGGTGGCAGTATTAGAAAATTTCTTATTAACAGACCAGTTTATCTAGATACACTTCTTTCCAAAGCATGTTTAAAGTAAATGTTCTACAGTAATTCCTCTAGGAAAAAAAATTGCACAAGCATGCTTGAGTGACTCTCATGGACTTTTAATTTTCAGTATGTATAGTCAGAAATTTGTAAATGTGCACGTGCCTCATATTTTTCAGATATGTGTATAGTTTGTATGTATCCACAACTCTTTGTGTGTATCCACAACTCAGGTGCTGAAACATTAAGGACTGAGATCAGGATATCATACCAGCTAATTACTCTTGTTGGCTTGTTACAGGGTGACACCTCAATCTATAAAGCGCTCTATTTATCCCTACTGCAGCTTTCAGTCTGGATAGATCTTGATTGATAGAATGATTGTGTGTATTTATCCCGTGTCTTTTCTCATCTATTACAGTCTTGCAACTTGAGCGCCCATGTCTAGTAGTGTAATTTTTTCACTGTGCTTCATGAGCTTGTGATATGAAGTAGAACTGAAATAGCTTTTCTTTACACATGAATAAAAATCATATTGATATGATTTTTCTTTTTAGGACACCTCATATTGATGGTCTGGCAAAGGAAGGAGTGAGACTTACACAGCACATTGCTGCAGCTGCTGTCTGTACTCCCAGCAGAGCAGCCTTCCTGACTGGCAGATACCCCATCAGATCAGGTTGGACCTCTCATAGTTCACTGCAGTTTGTCTAGCCATTGTTGCTATTAAAAATCCCTTTAAACAAACCATTCTAAAGACTGGTTAATCTAAGGCTTTGGGACCTCAGTGAGATGGGCAGAAATAAAGATGACTAGATTTACTGATTGATTTCCATGGGAAAATCCCCACATAAAGCACATTTCATGTGGTTAATTGACAACACAGGAATGGATGAAAATCAAAACAAGCACCAAAGGTATAAACAAAGTAGTTGTTGAATGTTGAATGTAGTATTAAAATTTATATTAAGCAAAGTATTTTGATTACCCTAATGAACATTTTAATAATGAAATCTGTCAGTGTGTGGAATAGTTCTCAATATAACACACACGTTTAATTCAGTAAGTATACACGTTTAATTCATAAGTATACAACACGTTTAATTCAGCCTTTTAAAGTGAAGACAGAAAACCATCCATGTTATCTCATGAGGATAGCTTGTCTGATCTCACTCTAACTTGCTAAAGGAGCTATAGCTTTGAGCTTCATGGATAAATGTTTTGGGTTCTTTTTTGGTTTTCGGTTGTTTTGTTACTTTGTTTGTTTGTTAGCTTTGCTTTTTCTTTATTTTAAAAATTGCATTTCCTCTCCAGGCATGGCATCCAGCACAGAACGGCGCATTCTTTTTTGGAATGGGTGTTCTGGTGGACTGCCACCAAATGAAACTACTTTTGCCAGAGTACTGCACGAGCAAGGTTATTCTACAGCACTTGTGGGTATGAGACACAGAAACTTGATATCTAATGTTATTCAAATGAGATTGTTTCTGTAAATGTTTTTCTTTGCCAAAATATATCCATCAGATATATCAGGATCAGATAAACCAAAGTTTTTTTCTATGGAAAACTTTAAAAATCAACAGGGTTTTTCAAATTCCACTCACAACCCAACCCCCAGTAGTGTCAATACAATATAGGTGATAATTCAAAAATGGAATGTATGTGTGGAATACATAGATGAACACAGCAAGGAAAAATAACTGCAGAGGAGGAGAATATCTTTCTTGCCTAGTACAGTTTGCTTTAGAAGAACCAACATTCAGACAGAGCAAAAATATGTTGTCTGACAGTTGGTACCCAGCTCCACAGTGGTCTTAATTCTATCTGATGGCTAGATTTTCTGTTACTTACTCATCCTTCTTATCATACAGAATAAAAAGGTCTTAATTTTCTTCTGCTGAGACAAAATAGCTGGAAGAGTTCTATTGCCTCCAGGGGGGTTGGGATCAGAATCTGTGTTCAAGAAAGAAAATCCTTTTAATTGTTTGCTATTTTTTTCTGAACAGTGATTATATGATGTGTCCTTCAAGCACCTCTCAATTTTATACTCTTCTAGGTAGTGACAGGTGCTGTGTGCTTAACTGTAATAACTGTGATTTTTATGCTTCTACTTGGATTCAGCACAATGAAGTGTCCTTCATTTCCTAAACTGAAATGAGTCTCAGTGATGAGAGTCTCAGGGCTTCACACAAGCTTGTGCAAATGGAAGATCTATCCCTAGCTCGTTGCAGTCTGGTATAGTTTGTTCTATAAAACACACTCATGTACAGGAGCACTAAGCTTATTAGTAGATCTCTGATGTTATTTGTCTGGTTAATAGGTCCAAAGCCCATGGTTATAGGCTGTGTCCTTCAATATCACAATAATTACACTGCTCTGTAAAATGACTTCATTAAGTTTCATTATCAGTGCGTGACATATTCTGATATGTCCAATTGTACTGGATAATTAGAGTGGCCTATTTTGCTACTCATTTTAGGAGCGCTAGTTTGTACAACTTATTCCTGAACTTTATTTTTGAATTTGAAGGTCAGATTGAAATTATGTGTAAATTAGTTCATATTTTTTGCACTTAGTTGTTTCTTTTGGCACAAGGGATTCTCCCCACCAGGCCATACACTTAATTGAAGTCTACTTTATCATACAATTAGCCTGAAATATTGCAACCATATCAGTACTTAGAGAGGTGCCTGAGCTGGACTGTTATCTATGTGGAATTATGTTAGTTAAGTGAAGAAAAAGAGCTGTTCTCTCAGATACAGTGCCAGGAGAGCCTGTCTTATTCCAACTAGCTCCTCCCTTGGTTGCACTTTAAATGAGGAGTGCAGCCAACGTTTTAGAAACAAAGGCAAACATACATGAGAGAAATGATGTTAGTTTTAATACTTCTGTTTTGTATTTCCAGGGAAGTGGCATTTGGGTGTGAACTGCAAATCCCACCGTGATCACTGCCACCACCCTTTAAATCATGGCTTTGAATATTTTTACGGCATGCCTTTTACTCTTCTGAATGAGTGTCAAGGCACAGATGATCCTGAACTGGCCAAGTCTTTGCAAGATACATATTTGCTTTATACACAGATAATCTTCCTGGCAGTGTTTACGCTTTTGTTTGGAAAACTTACCTGCTTATTCTCAGTAAAATGGAAAATAATAGTATGTGTTACCATCTTTGGTCTCCTGTATTTCCTTTCCTGGTTCTCCAGCTATGGATTCACCAAGTACTGGAACTGTATTCTGATGAGAAACCATGAAATCACAGAACAACCAATGAATCTAGAAAAAACTACTTCTAATATGCTGAAGGAGGCAGTTTCATTCATTGAAAGGTAACCAACAAAAACAGTATCACTTCTTAAGGATTTTTTAAATAATACAATTGCTCTGTCATGCACTACTGGGTTACACAGCTGGCACACCGAAGTATCTGCTCCTACTGTTGGCCATCAGCAATTTGCTGTTTTCTGGCATCCGTGTAATGTCAGCACCCAACTGCTGTCCTTCATCTTTTACATAGCTTGTTAGCTTCTCAGGAAAAGGAAGATGATTTTGTTGCGTTTTTGATTTGTTCACAATGGAGTCCTAGCCAAGGACTGGGCCTGCAAGCAGTAGGGACAGAAAAAATGATCTTAGCCTGATGAATGAACTCCCATGTAAAGTTCCATAAGTTAATGTTTTGCAAGCAGGAGACTGATACCGAGATTTGTTTTGTTTTACCAAAGTGTCTTTCATTTAAAATGCTACCAGCTAGAGTTAAACTGACTGCTAAGTTCTTAGCAGTATTCGTGTGGCAAGTTTGGACATATCCCTGAATAAGATTGTATTATTTCCCTGAGGGCTTGCTTGAAGATTTTGTTGTTGTTTTTAAGGGGAAATGAAGTGAGAGAAATCTCTTGTGCCTAACTCTGAACACAGACAAGCTTAGGTTTCTCAAATATCCTGCTTTATCTCTAGCTGCCAGTATTAAAGGGATGCAGTTCCCTTCTGGGTGCAGTATCATACCTGCTGGTTTCACATGTATATCTCAGATACTCAGTGACACCAATATTTAGGTTTAAGCAAGTGAGTCCTATTCTCCTTGCCACTGAACGTGTTATTTAGAATCATAGAATCATAAAATGGTCTGGGTTGATTTCATGCTTTACATGCATCTAATTTGGAACCAGAAAAAAAAAAAAAACATTACTATTTTAGTCTTTCTACAGAATCAAAATCTTTGAAGGGTGTTTTAATCCCCTCCATCTCCCAAAGCCTCAAAAATGCAAGATATCAAAATCTGATTTTTTTTTTTCTAGATAGTCACTACCATGCTGCTATTATATTTTGTTTAGAGTGGTAGTTTGCAGAGAGATGACTACTCTTGTTTTCTCTTATTTCAGAAACAAACGCAGACCATTTCTTCTCTTTTTTTCCTTCTTACATGTTCACACCCCACTCATTACCACAAAGGAGTTTCTGGGAAGAAGCAGGCATGGCCTGTATGGAGATAATGTAGAGGAAATGGACTGGATGGTGGGTAAGTGGTGATCTCGAAGAAAATAATTTATTTAAATATGGAAGATGACAGAACTCACCATTTATATATGACGAAAAATCTTGCCTTGCATATATAGTTAGCCCCAAAGGTTGCCATTTCATTACAAATCCTCTTTTCTTATTCTTAGTGTGAATGTGGAAACTTTTCCTATTTTTAATTGACACACTTCAGTGTTGCAGTGCAAAATTATAGAATCATAAAATCATTTAAGTTGGAAACAACCTTTAAAGGTCATCTAGTCCAATTGCCCTGCAATGAACAGGAACATCTACAGCTAGATCAGGGTGCTCAGAGCCAGGTTCAGCCTGACCTTGAATGTCTCCAGGGACAGGATATCCACCAAATCTTTTGGCAATCATTTCCCCTTTTTCTGTCACAACAGACTCTCCTAAGGAGTTTGTCTCCTTCTTTCTTACAGCCCCTGTTTAGATATGGAAATGTCACTTGGATTAGGTCTTCCCAGAGCCATCTCTTCTCCAGGCTGAACAGCCCCAGCTTCAGCCTGTCCTCACAGCAGAGATGGTCCATCCGTTGGATCATTTTTGTAGCCCTCATCTGGACACACTCCAAACAGGTCTGTCTCTAATGTACTGAGGACTACACATCTGAATACAGTATTTCATGTAAAGTCTCACCAGTGCAGAGCGGAGGGGCAGGGCCACGTTCCTCAACCTACTGGCCATGCTTCTTTTGATACAGTCCAGGATACAGTTGGCTTTCTGAGCTGTGAGGATATACTGCTGACTCACATCCAGCTTGCCATCCACCAGTATCTCCAAGTCCTTTTTGGCAGAGCTGTGCCCTATCCTTACAATCCCCAGCTTGCACTCATGCGGAGGGTTACTGTGATCCAGATGCAAGACCCTGCACTTAGATTTGTTGAACCTCATGAAGTTATCCTGGGCCCACTGCTCAAGCCCATCTAGGTTTCTCTGGATAAAGTCAGATAATCAAATATTACAGAATCATAGAATCACCAAGGTTGGAAAAGACCTCCAAGATCATCCAGTCCAACCGTCCACCTACCATCAGAATAACCTCACTAAACCAAGTCGCTTAGTACAATATCTAAATTTTTCTTGAACTCTTCCAGGGACAGTGACTCTACCACCTCTCCAGGCAGCCTTTTCCAGTGCCTGACTACTCTTTCAGAGAAGAAATTTTTCTTAATATTCAATCTGAACCTCTCCTGGAGCAACTTGAGACCATTCCTTCTCGTCCTATTGCTAGCTATGTGGGAGAAGAAGCTGACCCCCACCTCATCACAATCTCTTTTCAGATTGTTGTAAAAGAGCTATAAAGTCTCCCTTGAGCCTCCTTTTCCCTAGACCAAGCAATCCCAGGTACTTCTCATAAGAGTTGTGCTCCAGACCCTTCACCAGCTTCGCTGCCCTTCTCTGAACATGCTCCTGAGCCTCAATGTCTTTCCTGCAGTGAGGGAGCCAAAACTGTGCACGGTATTCAAAGTGTGACCTCAGCAGAGTTAAGTACAAGGGGACGATCACTTCTCTGATCCTGCTGGCAACACTATTTCTTATACAAGCCAGGATGCCATTGGCCTTCTTGGCTACCTGGGCGCAATGCTGGCTCACATTCAGCCAAATGTCAACCAGCACCACCAGGTCCATTTCTTTCAGCCACATTGTCCCAAGCCTGTAGCATTGCCTGGGGTTGCTGTGGCCAAAGTGCAGGGCCTAGCACTTGGTCTTGTTGAACTTCATCTCACTGGCCTCAGCTTGCGATCCAACCTGTCCAGATCCCTCTGAAGGCCTTTCCTATCCTAAAGCAGATCAACACTTTCCCCCAGCTTAGTGTCATCTGCAGACTTATTGAGGATGCATTCAATCCCCACAAGTCATCAACAAAGATACTGAATAGGACAGGCCCAATATTGACCCCTGGGAAACACCTCATGACTGGTTACCAGCTAGATTTAACTCATTCACTACCATGCTCTGGGCCCAGCCAACCAGCCAGTTCTTTACCCAGCAAAGGGTGTACCTGTCCAAGTCACAGGCTGCCTACTTCTTCAGGAGAATACTGTGAGACACAATATCAAAGACTTGGCTGAAGTTTAGGTAGAGTATGTCAACAGCCTTTCCCTCATCCACTTGGCAGGTCACTTAATCATAGAAGGAGATTAGGTTGGTCAAGCAGAACCTGCCTTTCATCAACCCATACTGTCTGGGCCTGATCCCTTGGTTGTCCCACACATGCCTAGTAATCTCACTCAAGATGATCTGCTTTATTACCTTATCTGGCACTGAGGTCAGGCTGACAGGCCTGTAGTTCCCTGGATTCTCCTTACAACCCTTTTTGTAGAGTCACGCTGGCAAGCTTCCAATCCCTGGGGACCTCTCCGGTTGACCAGGAATGCTGACAGGCAATGGAAAGCAGTTTGGTAATCATCACCGCCAGCTCAATCAGCACTCTTTGGCAGATTCCATCTGTCCCCAGTCCAGGCAGAGTAACAGGTCTCTGTTTACTCCAGAATTATGGGGAGTTTATTCTGCTCCCCATCTGAGACTTCCATGTCACATGGTAGAGTACCCCAAGTACAATTGGTCTGACTTTTAAAGACAGACATAAAGAAGGCATTGAGAACCTCAGCCTTTTTCTTATCTTCAGTGGTCACATTGTCCCCCACATCCAGTAAAGGATGGAGATTCTCCATAGCTCTTCTCTTACTGTTAATATATTAAAAAAAAAAAAATTGTTCTCTTTTACCCTAGTGAGCAGGTTGAATTCAAGCTTGTTTTATGCCTTTCTAATTTTCTCTCTACACATCCCAACAAATTATTTGTGCTCTCCCCGTGTTACCCATCCCTTCTTCCCCAGGAGGCAGACTCTCTTTTTCTCCTCAGAAAAAGTTCCCTATTCATCCATGCTAGTCTTCTTCCCTGCCTTTTATGGCCCTTCCCTCATCTTATGGCACAGGAGGACAGCCTGCTCCTGTACCTCTAAGATCTCCTTCTTCAGAAACATCCAGTCTTCCTGGACACCTTTACTCTTCAGGACTGAATCCCAAGGCACCCTCCCTGCCAGTGCTCTGAATAGATCAGTGTGCCACCTGGAAGTCTAAGGTAGCAGTATTGCTGACGTTCTTTCTAACTTGACCAAGAATAAAGAACTTGACCATTTTGTGGTTGCTCTGCCCAAGACAGCTCCCATCCTCCACATCTCTTACCAGTCATTCTGTTTGTGAATGGCAGGTCTAGCAGGGCACCTTCCCTTGTAGAATCTCTTACCAGCTGTATCAAGTTAACTTCCACACGCTCTAGAAACCTCCTAGATTGCTTCCTCTGTGCCATATTATATTTCTAGTATAATTCAGGAAATCTGAATTCCCTCTTGAGAACAAGGGCTAGCAATCAGATATACTTAATCTGCGCCATTTGCCTCACTCCCAACCCCATCATCATTCCCCCCGGCTCAAGCAAGCCTTGTTTTAACAGCTTCCACCTTTATACCTAGTTTAAAACCCTCTCAACGAGCCCTGCCAATTCCTAGGCTAGGATCTGTTTCTCCCTTTGAGACAGGTGAGACACATCTGCAGCCATCAGGCCAGGCACTAAGTAAATCCCCCCATGATTAAAAATAATAATAATAATAATAACAATAATAATAATAATCCCTGTGATTGCACCAGCCTCTTAACCATGCATTTATGAGATGGATTTTCTTGGTCCTCTCACTATCCCTTGCTGCCACTGAAGGGTTATAGGAAAACACCATCTGGACTCCTAATCCATCAACTAACTGCCTCAATGCCCTCAAGACCCTTTTGATAGCCCTCAGGCTATCAGTAACAGTGAAATATCAGTAGGGGATAGTAACCAGAGGGATGAACCGTACTAGGAGCTTTTCTAGTATTGTCCCTGATCCAGACCCCAGGAAGGCAGCACACCTCCCTGTGGGTAGGGACTGGCTGAAATACAGGGTCTTCCATTCCTCTCAGAAGGGAGTTGCTTACAACAATTACCCTTCTTTAGTTTTTTGATCACATAATTAATTGGAATATACGTTTATGCAGTTGAATACCCTCAAAAGATGAAACTTGTTCTGCTGCTGAATACTGCATTATATGTGGTGGGTTTGTTTTTTTTTAAAAAAATTAATCCTTAGAACAGAAACCAGAACTCTCTTCTAGCCAAAAGGCCAAATTAAAAGGACACAGTGTTTCACTTAACAATTTAATTAAATTTAAAAACATAGTATACACTTGGAGCCCAAATTTAGACCTAAACCTTAATTAGTAGTTCATTTTTACTTCAGGAGGAGGAAGATAGCTCCTATTTGCATTTATCCAAAAGCGAAGACCCTGCTGACAAAGTATTCATCTCCTGTCCATGATTCTCTGAACCTTTTCGACCTCCAAAAACCATGCTTAAAAAGTTGTAGTTTGAGAAGAGTCTGACTGCCTGTGATTGGCAGGTTGAGCACCTCTGCTAGATCTCGTTGCACCAGAGAACTCTGGTGCAATCTTCTTACTGTCACTTGGCAACAATCAAATTCAGGCACAAGCTACTCAAGCAGAACAGAACAGCAGAAGTACAAAGGTACAAAGAACATGTGTTGCATTGACTGAACGGGATGCTGCTATTGAGAACAAACATGCTAAAAGATTTGGGTCTAATTCAGACCAGAGAGGCCTTGAGTCTTCTTTGGCTAGGTGTCTATTTGCAGGGAAGATCAATAATAAAATGAGCTGACCATTGGCTCTTGTTTTTACCTTGCACACAACAGCTGTTTCTGCTGCTTCTGTAGCTATGGAAGCTGTTTGCAGTGATTGTATTTTGATGTAGTGAGTGATGAGAAAGAGCAATCAGGGGTAAATTATACACTCTGTGTAAATGCTTCATGCTACCAGTACTGAAAACATTCCTTATGAAGTTAGATTTGAATTGCACTCTGCAGAGTTTTTACCACTAACATCCTGAGAACATTTTGGCTGATTGTGTGAAGCCTGATTTCAGAATGCTCATGTAGCTCTTGGTGAGACAGTTTTTTGTTTGTTTTATTGACACTACAAACAAATTTTGGACACATTCAGCAGCTTTCTGTTGGGCTCTTCTTACTTCCATAATTCAGGATTATGCATTGCTTGCGGTTGCTCATAACAGAATTCACTGAGGTCAACACAATGACTGGCTACACTGAATTTTAAGTCAGTGAAAAATCTGACTATATCTCAGGATATTGTTATGTTGTTTTGCTTTGTTTATAGGTAGGCTTCTGGATGTTATTGACAAAGAAGGCTTGAAGAACACCACATTTATTTATTTTGCATCTGATCATGGAGGATCTGTAGAGGCTCACAGAGGAAATGCCAGATTGGGTGGATGGAATGGTATCTATAAAGGTAAAATTTTAGTGGCACATGCATGCATAAGACTGCCTATTGAAAAGAAAGCAATAGAATAAAGTATGTCCAGATATGTTTAAAAAGATATTTCCTTCTCAGACTTGAAGTCCAAAAACAAAACCTCACAGATTGTCCAAATGTGTATACTTCCTAATTTTCCTCTGAAATGTGAAAACATAAACTTGTGTCCTTTAATATTGCTTCTTTAAAGACTTACCAATTCTTGATATTATTGCCACGAAGTTTCTCCTAGACATCCTTCTTTATCAGTCTTATAGGTTTATTAAAGCCTGCCTTTCTGGAGATTTTTAGTTTGTTCTTCTTTCTATCCTTGAGGTTTTAAATTTTTTATGGTCATTCTCTCCCGACCCACCTCCCACATGGTCATTCTCCACTGATTCTTTCTTTAGTATTAAATGCATAAATATTCCCTTCTGCTTGCTTTTTCCACTTTGTTTGCCACATAGTAAGAAATAAGTTTGTTTGTTTGTTTGTTTGTTTTTCCCTCAGTGTACACAATGGAAAAAAAATTAAAACAAAACAAATAAATCCATTTCTAAAGCCCACTGCTGATTAGCATTTATCTCTTTCTTCCACTTCTCTTAGATGAACTCTATTCTTCTTTCTCTGTTCCTCACTGAATACTGTGAAGTAATAGAGTGCTACTTCATGAGAGTGTACATCAATGCAGCAAAGACTGGAGATGAAACTATGTCAACAGACCTGATGAAATACCTTAATCCAGACTGAGATCCTCTGGAATTTCTGTAGTTGTCTAAGTCATGAATTAATTCTCTAGACTTCTATACCCTGAAAAGCCACTGTGATATCTTGGGCAGCTTGGCACTTACTGTATAACAGCCTGAAGACTGTTCCCACCATTTACATCCCAACATAAGATGCCACACGTTAAAGTGTAAAATAGAGAGTAATAGTAATGACTTTATTTTTGAAGAATGGATCTTGCACTGTAGCCATTCTACCATTCTTTGCAATTTAGTGTGTTTGCATTAAAAGTATTTGAATAAGAAAGTTGTAAAATTCCTTGTTATGCATGCATAAGAAATGTCTAATGTATACATAAATATATGTATTTTTCCCTCCTATTATAGGTGGAAAAGGAATGGGAGGCTGGGAAGGAGGGATCCGTGTTCCAGGAATAATTAGATGGCCAGGAGTGTTGCCTGCAGGCATAGTTATCAGCGAACCAACAAGCATTATGGACATTTTTCCAACAGTGGTTCACTTGGCTGGAGGGATAGTGCCTCAGGACAGGTACAAAAGAAGCTTCCTAAACCATGTTTGCTCGCCTTTCTTGTTTTAGATAGAAGCTGACTAAGTGTCACACATCTTAACACTCACAGGTTAAATTCTGTTAGTTGCTAAAAAAGAGTTCTCCAGCAATCTTTCTATTTAGCTTTCCGCATATTATGTGATTATATGGAAAAAAAAGAGAAAGATAATATATGTTATCAAGGATGCTAGCTAACTCAGTATTCTAATCATTGAAAAGACACTTAGTTAACTGGGATAATTCAGAGGACTTTAAAAAACAAACAAACATAAAAACCCACAACTGCTTTAGACTTAATTTTATTTAAGATGGGCCCTCTCCAAGCCTGGTTCTTTGTGAGCAGGGAATATGGAACAAATGCCCTGCACCTGGATGCCAGTAACGGAGAAGTATGTTCCTGGACTGTAAAAAAAACATAGAGCCTATGTTAGTCTTCTCTAAGAACAAGTGAAAGGCTGGGTGACTAAGCCATTCTGAGAAGGAGCATAAAAGCATAAAAGTGTTGCACAACTAAACCAACTGTTAGTCAATTAATTGTCACCATTTTGACAACGCCTATCACTGATCTCAATTTCAGGGAACCAGAACCAGTGAACTTCCCTTCTCTGCAGTTATCACTTAGCCCCAGGAAAATTACAGTGATGATAGCTTATTTCCCCAGAATGCGTGAAGTAGCTGCAATTGTACAAACTGCTAGTAACTACTAATCACTGGCCACCACCCATCCAGACAATTAAAACTGTCAGACGTAATAAGCTGAACTGTAGTTAATTTTAGAAATGACATTTGAAATCCTAGCGCTTTATCTATGGAGAGTTAGTACTGATCACACTGCAGGCAGGGTGCAATTCCTGAACAGTCTGATGACCTCAGTCCTCTTCACCAGGGTAATCGACGGGCGCACCTTGCTGCCGTTACTGCAGGGAACACTGCAGCACTCTGAGCATGAGTTCATGTTTCACTACTGTGGTGTGGTTTTGCATGCAGTACGGTGGCACCAGAAAGACAGTGAGTATAAACATTCCCCCTGCAGCCTGTGGGAGATAATTCAATGACCTCTCATTTCCAACAGAATAACAGGTGACAACATTTATACACACTTTGAGTAAGTTTATTGATTCAAGCACAGTTCTTTTGCAACGTGCAGAATGAGCATTGTTGGCTATCTTGCCTTGCCTAAGGTGAAGCGTTTTGCTCCCTGAGTAGCATAACTTTAAGAATATTGATGTTGTTGCAGTATTTCTATTGCTTTTGATGTGTGTAAGGCTTGGACATAGTAGGCACAGTGGGACCTCTCAAGGGAAGAGCACAGGGACAATCACCTCCCTTTCCATGCTGGCCACCCCTGTTATTGATGCAGCACAGGATGCAGTTGGCCTTCCAGGCTACAAGCACGTACTACTGGCTCATGTTCAGCTTTTTGTCCACTTTCAAGTCCTTTTCCACAGGTATGCCCTCAATGGGTACTTCTCCAAGACTGTACACACATGTGGGATTGCCCTGATCCAAGTGCATCACCTTGCACTTGTTGAATCTCATTATGTTCTCATGGGCCCACTCCTCAAGTCTGTACAGATTCCTTGAGATTGTATCTCTGCCTTTTATTATATCAGCTGTACCACTCAGCTCAGAGTCATCAGCAAACTTGCTGAGAGTACATTTGATCCCACTGTCTATGTCTTTAATGAAGATGTTGAAGAACACTGGCCCACGATGGACCCCTGCAGGGCCCCCCTAGTCAGTGGCCTTCATGCAGCTGTTGACCACAACCCTCTGGCTGTGACCAACCAATTCTTTTTCCACTGACTACTTCACCCTTCAAAGCCATATCTCTCCAATACAGAGATAAGAATATGGTGTGGGAACACATCAGTGAAAAAGACCCTTGTAGAACTCAAGAAGATGATATCAGTTGCCCTTCCTTTTTCCCCTGATACTATCACTCCATCGTAGAAGGCCACCAGTTTGGGCAGGCATGACGTGCTGTGCTGGCTGTCTGGGATCACCTCCTTGTCTCCCATGTGTCTTCCAGCAGAACGTGTTCTGTGATCTTCCCAGGCACAAAGGTGAGGCTCACAGGCCTGTAGTTTCCTGGGTCTTTCTTTCTTAAAAATAGGAGTGATGTTTCCCTTTTCCAGTAACCAGCAACTTCACCTGACAGCCATGACTTTTCAGATATGACGGAGAATGGCTTGGCAACCACATCAGCCAGTTCCTTCAGGGCCCTAGGGTCCATGATATCCATCCCCATAGATTTGTACAGATTCAGCCTCATGAAGCAGTCTCTGACTCCATCTGTTCTTACAGTGGGAAGGATTTTGCTCCTCCAACTCCCACCCAGAGGTTCAGGAATGTGCGAGGCAGGGAAGCCTGACTGCCAGTGAAGCCTGAGGCAAAGTACCCCAGTCTTCTCCAGCCTGTTGAGGACTGTCCTCTGTTCATCAGAGTTGGAGAAAATATAGAAAAGATAGAAAACAGTAAATACAACAGAATTCCTTAAATCCACTTCTTCCATGAAGTGGATTTAAGGATTTCCCTTCTAGGAAAGGGCTTTGTTTTTGTTTGTTGTCCCCCATCCCTTCTTGGGAATTCTTACTATCTCTTTCCCAGTTATTAGACAAAACTGTTAGGAAAATTTTCTGTCTGGAGAAAAGAGAATAATTCTTAACAAGAACAACAAATAAAAGGACGAGACGGGGAAGGGAGAGGTTCTGCAGCTGCCTGTCTTCTGCTGCGTCGCTGAGCGCTGCGACCTGCTCAGCCTTGCAGTCCCAGCGGCCAAATCCTTCTCTGGCCGCTGCAGCTGAGCAGTTGGACGCGGTCACAGCTCGGTGATCCCGGCCTCAGCAGCTGAGGGGGGAGCGCCAAGGGGCTCCGTTATTGACTTGGCGCAACTGCTTCAGGCCGCTGCTGAGGGGAGCAGGAGCGGGAAGGCGCCGCCAGGGGGCAGCGCGGCACCGCCAACCGCCGTCACCGCCACAGCAGCGCCGTGAGAGTCAGGCGTCAAATAAACAGCTTAAACGGGGAGACTATTGAAATTTAACAACAGTTCAATAGTCCTGCAGCGATGTTGCCGGCCTCGCTTTTCGTTTTCAAGTTCGGCAGAGCCTGCCGAGTGAGCGTGGCCCCCCGCAGGCTTAGGCGTGGAGCTGCCCAAGGAGCCCGAATAGGGCTGTAAGAGCAGGAGGAGACATCGAGAACAGCCACGGCGCAGAGACGATGGTTGTCCCTCCAACTGCGATAGCTTCACTGCCAAAACGTTGGTTCTTGCACTCACTGAAACCGCAGTTTGAGCTTCAAGCTCAGCCCATAGCTCCAGGCTTCAACCCACCTAATTTGTTAGCCCATAAACTCGTTAGCAGTACCTAAAACTGTGCAGGAGCTAGGAACTCAGATCTCCTGTGCCTCCGAATCCATCACAATTCATCGAGATCTCTTTTTAGTACATGTATATTCCATACAGAGGAAGCCTCGTCTGGCTGCAGACTCCTCAAAAACCTCTGCTGGAGGAGTCACACTGCACTTTTCTAGTGAAATCTGAATGCATGCACCACAAAGTTTGAAGAACTGCTTTTTGGGTTCAAGTACTGCTCTCCTCCCCTCCTTCTCATGTGTTGCCCTCCTTCTCACATCTTGTCCTCCTTGGACGTAATAAGGTTGATCTACACCAGAATTTTAGTTCAGACCAGAAGTATGCTTTTGAAGCAACCCATTCTGAGCATACCCACTCACCATGATTTTATTTGCATCACAGAATGGTCTTAAGACTGTAACTTTAGTTGTAGAGGAAGCCAAAGTGTGAAACAAACTCATACTCCATACACTTGTACCACAAGCAGATGTTGAGCCGACAGGACCAGAGAGTAAACCCCCAGAGAAGCACCCCCAAACAAGTACAGTGTGGAAGTCAAGTCATTAATACTGCTTTTGCTGTACAGATCAGTTTTTAATAGGTCACACTACTTGTAACGTAGATATGGAAACCACATCCAGACGTAAGGTGTATTTTATGTTCCCACGAGACACTAAAGTGCTGCTACAGCTGTCATTCATGCCTTTATGTCATTTATACCACTGAAACACAACTGCTGCTGGCTAGGTCACTGGAAACAATCAGGCATTCTGCATATGAAATTAAATACTATTGTTTTGTTTATTGATTGAAAATAAATAAATAAATTTATTTATTGAGTTGTTTGGCTCAACTTTCATCTGGGACAGGAATTCTGTTCCTTTGCACTGTGCTGATGAGCTTCTAATTTAAAATAATCTGATTTAATGCACAATATGAAGGTGATATACCTTTAAATGAGCGCAAGTGAGAAAATTTAATGTCCATTCCCTTTTATTTACTGGACAGGCTGAATATGAAGCCATTGTGTCTTGTCACCACAATCATAAATTAAGCACTCCACTAGAGCTGGAAGTGTTAAGCTAGAAGAGGCTTATTAGCGATAGTCCATTTCTTTCTGCTCATTAAGTTGATTGATTGTTACCAGATGGGCTTGAGAGATGTTTGGATTGAAGAAGCAGGTTTTCTTTCCCTTGGATATATTCTATTAACACGTTGCCCTAAAATTCACACACATTCTTCAAATTCTGTCAGAGCTACTTCAGTAGCAAATTGCATTTCCCTTTGCTTCTTAGGAAGGGCCATACCCCCCTGCTAGTTTCAGTGGTGCTGATTTCCACCACCTTTTATTTTATTTTTTATGACCCTCCATAATTCAGGTGTCTACTCAGCTCACCAATACAGGTTAATTACAATCAGCCTGATTGTATCCTTCCCAATGACCTAACAAGGACCTGGCTCTCTCCCACTCTGCAACTTCAGTAATTCTTTGCAGCTGGGGAAAAAATGGATGATAAAAATGTGCAGAATGTGAACAATTCTCCTCAGACACTACACTCCTGTCTCTGAATTACTGTGCAACGTGTTACGATGAATTCATCTCAATTACTAAAGAAAAACAGTGACTGTTTTTTTTTTTTCCTGAACAATAGTCACAAACTTCTTTACTGTAAGAATTCATACTTGTCCATCTCGTATTTATCTATTAAACAGTGATTTTAGCTATATTACAGGAGTACAGCTAATCTGGGAAATGCGCTTGGCTTAAAGGTTACTTGCTTAATTCCTTCTGTAAGTATCTGTGCTACCCAGCCAACAGATAGAAGACCCAAATCCCATACTTAGAAAACCCTGATATGACTGAGAATGCTTGCATTTTTGTCACAAGACAAAAATGTACTTTTATTCACAAGATAGGGAAAATTAGGTAGCCTTAGAACAGCAAAGCGTGCACCAAAAGCTAAGGAGCTAAGGAATACATGTCCTCATTAAGCACCAGCAACAGTGAGCCAATTTCCTTTATAAAATCAACCTTTGCATCCCTGCTCTCAATTTCAGCAAAATATAAGTAAAATCTATCATTTCTAAATGTACTATGTAAAAACACAGGCACTGAGATATCATCCCTCTCAAAAATGCAGTAGAATAGCTTAGAAGGACCTGGAAAGCGTGCAGTAGAAATACGTAGCCAACAAGCAACAGAAGACGTTCAGTTAAAAAATAGTCTGAGATTTAATGTCTGTTATTTGCTCCTCATCATCTTTTACATTGTTGTTTTTTTTTTTTAAATTTGATTGAACAAACATGTCCCAGCTATAGTGATACGGCAGAGTCAGAAGAATGAAACTACAGAATCCTGGTCACAGAGCTCAGCACAGGGGACAACAGACAGACAGGCTGAACCAAAACAGAAATGCCTTGTAGGAACAATGCAGATGTCAGCTAGCTGTGCTCAGTGGCTCTAAATATTGAAGTCCCTCTTTTATTCTCTGCCCATTTGCAGAGGCAGGATCTAATTGCTGTCTTTTTGCTGGGCACAGTTCTGCTTCATCTTGGAGTGAGTTCAGTATAGTGATTCCTCAAGACAGTGAGAGGAATAAAGGGAAAAGAGGGGAGATGAAAGAAAATATCCCCTTGAACTGTATTTCCTCTGTCATTTTTTCATTAACAGTTAAAGATCTGCACTTAAAATACAAGCCCTAAAGTTGCAAACTGATTGCTCTCATTCTGTTCACTTGAAAACTATTTTCGAGATTTTGTTCTCATGGCCAGCCATTAATGCCATATTTGAAAACATGCTTGAAAGTAGGCACAGGCATGTGGTGTATCAGTTTGTGTCCAGATGCTGTTCTTGGCTTGGATACAGAGAGCTAACAGAAGAACCAGCTACTCATACCTACATCCAGAAACACATTTTCCATTTTGCCCAACAAAGAGGCATACACAGCTTTAAAGGAACACAGGAAAGGGGCAGAGATTCTCTCTACACTCAAAATGTTAGACCTAACCATCCATGAAGTGTAAATAGCCTTGCAAGTACCGACAGCCCAGGTGTGCCCATGAGTCATTCTGAATCCCTGCCAGCTCCCAGCATGTCTTTTTTTCTGTCTGTGACAACCACAATACACGCTCACAAATAACACAGAACTTGAACCAACTTCTCAGGGATCTCCCCGGTGCCTACTGCCATTAAGCTGTTCAATGTGCTTCTGTTGTAACAGGAGGTACCGTATGGAAAGCTCATTATGCTACTCCACTGTTCCAACCAGAAGACTCTGGAGCTTGCTTTGAAAGAGGAATTTGCCCATGTTTTGGAGATGGTGTAACCCATCACGACCCTCCACTGCTGTTTGATCTGTCACAGGATCCGTCAGAGGAAAATCCCCTAGCCATGGACACCGAGCCTTTCTTTGATTCAGTAATGAAGAGAATAGGGAAAGCTGTAGAAGAGCACCGTAAGACCCTGACCCCAGTCCCACAGCAGCTGTCTCCTTACAGTAATATGTGGAAGCCATGGTTGCAGCCATGCTGTGGCACATTTCCATTCTGTTGGTGTGACAAAGAAAGCGAGAAAGCCAATGACACACTTTAATACCAAAATCGATTTAGTTTAAAAAAAAAAACAAAAAAAAGTAGCAATTTTCACATCCACATGACTACAGTCATATAGAGATGGGGGACAAATTACACCAGAGTAATTGAAAGGGACATTCGTGATGCTTTTTGTTCAATCTAAGCCTGTAGTTTTAAGCTGTTTTTTTTTTAAAGAAATGCTCCAAACACGCTCTGCTGATGTGAACTGTAAATTCTATGCCTCTAATGGATAGTTCTAGATCAGATACACAGATAACTGAACCGAAGTGTCTTCCCCTACTGATTTTCAACTTAACAAAATTATGAATTACAAGAGATTAAACTTGAATTGCTGCTGTGTTGCAGGTAATACGCTTGTTAAGGCAACAGGTCTGTGCCCAAAAGGATCTCTCTTCAAGGTCTTATCTTTTTAATGAAAAGGCTGTTATGTGCTTTACAGCACAGTTGTGCATTTAATTTGGAAACACACTAAAACACAGTGGCCTCTAAGAAATAAAAACATTCTAGTTTATAGCAGTATTTTGCCTCATCTTTACATTTACTTATCTGCCATGTAAGAGTTTCTGGAGAAGAGGGGAAAAAAACCCAACAAACCAACACTGATAAATGTGTTTTAAAAATTAGGTAGCTAAAGTTACAATTCCAAATCCAGCATTTAAGCATCTAGCTATTCTGAAATGCTAAACCACTGCAATTCCAACTGACACGCAGCTTCCATGTTAAATGAGCTCCCCTGTAGGAGCATTGAAAATCATCATCCAGCTGCCTGGACAAGATAGTCCCAAATTTCACAATCCCCGAGACCAATCTATCTGTAAGCTGCATGTCCCACTTCGGCATGAATGCTCCTGATTTTATGGGAGTGTTGAAATGCCCCCATTAAAAATGTGCTTTGTTTTGGAAGACAGTACTTTGGTTTCAGTAGGTGTTAAAAAATCCCCTGCACACACTAATCACTTCAGTGTACAGGTCACATCCTATGAGCCGAACAAGTGTCAGCACTCTGCACAGTCATTAGGGAAAGGTAGGGAATTAAAATATCTAATCCTCTCTTACTGCCCTCTGGTTAACTGCATTCATCTCTCAATATATAATCCTGACCAGGTTCTTGCAGGGGTTTTGTGTCAAATCCAGTTTTTAGGCAGAGGTTGCTGCATTCTCCGGCTCAAAAAAAGAAGTAAATTGTGTGGCGGAGACTCAGATTCAAAGCTCTAAACCTTCCTGAACACTGTGACTTCATTCCTACTGCTTAGCTGAATGTCAGCAAGATTTCAAAGGCAGCACAGAAAGGTAAGAACAGCCCAGCTTCAGATAACGTTTCCTTAAATCTGGCGGCACTGCAGAACCAGACCAGTGCCACTCTGTTCAATACTAAGGTCACTCAAGTCACTTTTTTTTTTTTTATCTTGTAGAAAAAGGAGATAAGGCGGCCAAGGCAGCACAGAACTGACAGGCTGATAAACCCAGAGTAGTGTGCAGCTCTCACAGGTCTTGAGCTGTCACAGCAGGTCCCAGCCCTTTCACCAGCCTCAGGACAAAACAGCACGCATGTGCCTGGGATGAGATGCTTTCTGCAGTGCTTTCAAGCAAGCTCCTGACGTATATGCCCTGCATGGATGTCACCTGTGTGCTAAGTCACAATGTTCTTTTGTTCCAAACAGCACAGGTTGTGACCGTGATGCAGTACCAAACAGTCTCCAAACAAACATTTCTTCATGTTATTTCCTGTTGGTATCTTTCCTCTAAAAGGACACCAAGGAAGCTATGCAGACATTACTTTGCAAAAATCAAAAGGCTAATCTGACAGTGAACTGCTAGGACAGTTCAATGGCAGGTTTGACAGAAGTATCTAAAAATACATTTGTTCTTACAGCTTGATAGCATTTAGATCTACATCAGCTTTGCTGAGAACCTGTCAAAAGACTTGACATTTTTCTGTGTCTGACAGGGGTTGAAACCAGAGCAGCTGTACTTCACTGGATTCATAACAAGAGAAAATACATAGCATAAAAGACCAGGCATTTTAAAGCTAGTCTGGCCGATTCTGGGATGGAGGAGAAATCTTGCTGCTAAGTGAGGAACAGAGCCAAAAGCTGTTTTCCAGAATCAAGCCAGCCTGTCAATAACATCTACATTGCCAGTTAAGCATAAGCTTGTTCTCAGCTCACCCCAGCACCCTCCTTACCCTGCCTATCTGGTTATACACAGGAACGTGCCCAGTCACAGGCTGGGCCAGGACTAATGGCAGGAGGTGTTCAAGTAGCAACATGTCATACAAGCATAGGGACACAGTGCTGTGGACAGACTGGGAAGCCCAGTGCATCCACAAAACCCCTGTGCACATCTCCAAGCACAGCGTGAACATTTCTGACCCCAGGATAAAGGCAGGCTAGAATATGAGAAGAGGGGATTTGCATTGGCTTATATAGGAGGACATCCATCACTCAAGCCTGCTCTTTGCTTCACAGTAGAGGCATGGTAAATTATTACCAGAATTAGAAACAGGTCAATTATTCTGTTCCCTGCAGATCCTAGCTGCAGACGTTACAAAGCACACTTGCATCTGAGTAACACTGAAAAATACTCAGTTACCTAGGTTTTATTTAAAAACAATCTATAATGACCTTCTGAACATAAATAAACATCATGGTGTCTCCCTTGTTTTGTCATGGCTTCTCCCTTTGTAGAAGGAAGAAGTGCTACATAAACTCACCTAATAGGCAGAGATGAGACAAGTGGCAAGTCACCAAGGCTATGTTAACCTCAGGCGAATGCACCTACATATACTTAACTACAGACTCTGAGCAGAGGGGAGCAACATTACAAGTGTTCCTATTGAAAGAGCTGTGGCTGAACTGTACAAACGTTTGACATTCCTGCTGTATGAAGCTGACTTCTATCTAAATAGTTTGATCATTATTAAATGACATTTGGAATCTCTACGCTAGTCCGACTCAACAAAGTAATTGTTGAGTCTCACAACAGCGAGACAATAAGCTTCTAAAGTAACTCACTCCAAATTCAAATACCTCAAACATGCCAATTTGCTCTCTGGTGCAACCCAGAGGAATGCCAGTGCAAAAATCACTAGATCCCATCATCTGAGAGTGCAAAATAATTTTGTAACAGATAAGCTGAGAAAAGCAATTTCAGCTCAAACTTTATCCAGCTTGAATTTTGTGGGGCGACTCATTTACAAAAGTGAGGGAAAGGAAGAAGTGGAATAAAAATACTTGTGCTTGTGATTCTGAATGACCTTGGCTGGAGGAACAGGCTGAAAGACCTGTTCTGCCATGTGTCTATAAGCCAAAAGCTACTGAAACAATTCAAGGAAGTTATAAAATGAAATATAGACACCCACCCACCACAAGCAATCTCTTTTGTTCCAGATATTTAATAATATGAGTAGGCTTTGAAAAATCATAGGTCTTTAAGCCTAAAATAAATAATCACCTGTTTCTGACATATATCTAAGGAGAACCATCTACATGTATCATGGCTCAGAAGCGTGTGTAGTGCCATAAAAAGGAACAAACACATCACCAAGCAGTTCATGTTCTGTCATTCCCTGGTGGGAAAATAAATAAAAATTTTAAAATAACCACAAATCAAAATCTGACTCTCTTGGAATTACATTCTTTTCCCTGTTTTCTGACAGTCCTGATAACACCCAAAGCAAAGGTAAGGATAAGACTTGCAACTCTGCTCTGCCCCCCCCACTGTATTCATAGTATTATATATCACTGTAATTAAACTGTTTTCTTTTTAATTACCTTTGCTATAGCTCTTACAAGTGGGAAGTTTATACCAGGAGGTAAGACACTGCTTAGGTGTTGTCCCTTCTAATTTTGGTACCAAAAAAACTTATTTATCAGCCAGCCAGCCAGCTCTGGATGAACAGAATTTCAACTGAAGCACTTTGTTAGCCATACACTGAAAATGCAAGGTATTTCAATGACAAGTATTAACTGACATTTATTTCTATAGGCTAACTAAAATGCCAAGCAGTCAATTCTTATTTCAGGGCCGATTTAAAAAATCATAAAATCACAGAAACAGAGCTCTACAGTGATTAAAACTATGGGGAAAAAAGCTAACAAGTACATAAATCATTTATAATAGACTGTGCTAAATACTCTCACGCAATGATAATATCATTAGAGGTATAAATTAAGACAACAGGCCCATCTCACGTTATTTTCAAAATCATATGAATCAGAACAGTTTAGCTCAGCAAAACAACAAAATTTATTAAGGAATAAATAGACAGACTTGTGGAGATTTTCAGGAGCATGCAGATGTATAAAGCCACATGCTAGTAGCCCAGTCTAATATTCATGGGCAGAAAAAATCACTGCAGAGAAATAAATGTGTGTGGTTTTTTTTTCTCCAAATATCAGCCTTACAAGACGTAACTCATGCGAGCTGACTGAGCCAGAGAGACAAAGAAATCTCCTCTTTTCCAAAAGAACAACCAAGTAGAAATGTCCTCACTAGACACTTTGAAGTAAGCAGGGACATTACAAGAATAACCACCTCCTTTTCCAGTAGGCTAGGAAAATGCATCAACCCACTCGTCTAAGATTTTCAAGAATTCTCCTTGTGGCTCACCCACACTACCTCCTGTTTATTATACAAAGAGCGCTCAATAATTTTGCAAATAAAACTACCTTTTAAGTCTTTCTGTAAATAATTAAGACCAGGACAGAAGAAGAGAGAATAAGCATATTTTGATTTTAATTCAACCTGTTTACTTTAAGTCTTCCACACTATACCACATCAGAGTTTGGCCTTTCAAAGCCCTTACTGCTACTTCTTGGGTCATCAGGGCCTGGAAAAATTCTTCTTTAGGAACCAGTGGCAGTGCCAGAAAGTTTGTTTTTCTTAAATTACTTTACCCTAGAAATACCTGAGGCTACCCACAATTTAATGTGTAAGAAATTTTGGGTGAGGTTTAGTTTGAACGTGATTTCCAAGTCATGTTTTGACTGCCATGATCCAGAGAGTTTGTAATGTGCTGTCTGTAACGCTCTCCAAACCTGCTTGTGGCCCCACAGTTGTAAAATGATGTCCACAAAGATCAAAGGAAGCTGCTCAAAGTACAGCACATGCAAATTCTGGATAAACTGAAAAGTTTGTCCCTTCTCACTCTCTGGAGGCATTACAGTGCAAGAATCCACTAAGATACAACATTATTTGTAAATGATTTCTTGAATGAAGACAATGCACAAAAACTTGGGCAAAGTTTTTAATCACAGTTATATTTTTCTGGGAAACTGCAACTCAACTACTTTGGTACTTACTCAAGAAAGATTGTAATGCTTCTATTACATATGTCTGTAGAATTGTAATCTGCATCTCCTATTTCTCCTCAGCTGGTAATCATGCATCATTCGATGAGAACAACTTCATACGACCTTTCCATTTCCACTTCTACTTTATTTCCATGACATTATTCTGCTACATTTCTTTGCAAAACATTGCATAATCCACACACGGTACCATTCTATATCTTAACACTTTCCAACGTGTTCCATAACAGCTCCTTTTACTACAGTCATACGTCTACTTTAAAACTTTTCAATTATAGATTTTACGTTAGTAATTTTTTCCCATAATCTATATTAATGTATGCAGTAAGATCTAGTAGTTATTGCAGAATTACAGCTGCATGAAACATGAGTTCACATGGTCACCTACTGTTGTATACAGTTTTCAGGAACTGCTTGAATTGTACTAGCAATAATGCTTAGAAAATGGAAGACTTCCTCAGAAGTGCACAAGTTACTGCAATAAGAAATAATTAACAGATCAAATGCCTCTATGCTGCAGCTAGTATAATCTCCATGTAGTGCTGCACTGGGACACTCAAAACAAAATGCAGAAAGTGCCTGCCTTTATACTTTCATATAAAGGTTGCCTGCCAACAGAAAGCAATTTACCATAGGTCCTCTTATGATTAATGGAGAAATTTATATGAATCATCTTCTGGACATCTTTCTCTTCAACTTCAGTGACTTTAAACACCTAACTTCAACTAGAAGACCAACTTCAAGAGACCAACCAAAGAGAGAGACCCACAGTTCCCACCTTAGGAGTACTCAGAATAAATGGGAAATAAAGAATTTGACAAATCAGAAATAGCCCCAGAAGTAAAAGTAATGTCACTATTGTTAACAGTGGGATATAACTCTAAAAAACTCAGATCACTATTCTGCCTTCAAGGGACCTTCTGACTCTTTTGCTCCTTTCCTAATTTGTGCAAGTTATTTCTCTTCTTTTCAACCTTTTTTTGATGGAGAAAGAAAAAAATTCTCTCCTACCCCACCTTTTTCTTCATTAACACTTACAGCAATAGATATTTGAATTAATTTTTTCACACAGAGGGTGATGGCACACTGGAACAGGTCAAGGATGCTGTGGATGTCCCACCCCTGGAGGCATTGAAAGCCAGGCTGGATGTGGCTCTGGGCAGCCTGGTTGGCGACCCTGCACATAGCAGGGGGGCTGAAACTAGGTGATCATTGTGGTCCTTTTCAACCCAGGCCATTCTGTGATTCTGTGATGCTTAACATTACACGACTGGCTGTTGAACAGAATTCCCAAGTTATTTCATTTGATTATCCATACCAAAATTGGTGACAAATCAAGGCTGGAATACACTTCAGATCCTAGATCAGCACTGCAGAATTCTCATTTGAAGACTTAGCAGCATTATGCATAACTGTATCAAATCTGTTACCACATTAGCATGTCTATCAAGCTTCTTTCTATCAAAGTGTTTCTTTCTTGTTGTTTGTTAAAAAAAACCTGCCAAGACCACTCGTATTCAAAGACTCAAAATTCATAAAGCAATCCTTCTAAGTACACTTAAATATAAGGGAGTCTCATCGATAGATTTATCTGAAACTACACTCTGATTTTTTAGTTCCCACACACAGCTATTGTTTAAAAGATCTTCAAAGAGCCTGTTTACTAAAACAAGGACTAACTATGTCAGTTGCACTCAAACTGGAGCAACCATATTAAATGAGAAGAATGCCTTTGTCAACTGCAGTCAGAGTACTGTAAACAGTATAAAGCACCAGAAAAGTTTACACCATAGTGTCAGTCAGCATTTCTTTCTCTAACTATGCAACGCTGAATACGGAAGTAAAAACTAACATATATTTAAAAAAAAAAAAAAAACAAACACGAAGGGCATCCTATAGCAACAATATAAAAGGTTAGTACATATTTTCAGTCTGTCTTAAGACTACCTTAAGACATCTTTTCATCACACTGCTACTTGAGCAGTTTCCATATAAAACAGTAAGAGTATCCAGCAGCGATCTCGAAGTCCTGATTTACTCTTTACCTAATTATACTTAAATGAAAAGGTTTTGTCACAGACTTATATGAGGCCAGAATTTCATCTTACTTTTCTCTCACATTGAAGTCTACACCATGGTTGCCCTTGGAATCATTAACTTGGTTTCAAGAAGAAAGTTTTAATTTAAGAAGTTTTTGCAGTCTCTCGTTAAGAGGTAAGAGTATGTAAAATAAACTCAACTCTCAATACACTTCACTTACAACTGTTCCCGTGCAGTACTTATGCAGAACAGTGGGGAAAAGTGATAAATACGAGAGTTTCATACTCAGAAAATATCATTCATTATATCTCAGAAGGCACTACGAGAGAATAATAAAGTTGAGGCACACATAACCATTTAAAAAAAAAAAAAAAAAAGAAGCAACAAAACAAGAGTCTATCTTTGTTAGTCTTCCATCAGCTTTGGTGTCAAAAGAACTATGAAGATATCCAAATATTCAAGGTTCTATTTACAGAAGAAACATCATAATAGTCATTACAGTTCATCTTAGAGTAAAAATGTGTCCAACTTCTTTTTGATATGTTCAAAAGCATCTTTTCCCATATAGTCCATACGCCCTTCCTCCCATTTTCTCCGTTCATCTTCTGGATTTGGTTCTTCACGTTTGAGGTGAATAGAGAGCTCTGAAACAGAAGATGCAATCTCATTCTGTGGGAAGAACAGTAGGAAAGCAGTCACTTGATTGTTTTCACTTCAGTGCTGTGAAATTAAACCTTAAAAATCAAAATTTCTGCTTTATAAAGTGCCAGTTAAAAGAAGCAAGCAAGCAAAAACAAAAAAAACCCACCAAACCAGTGATCTCATTTTCCCAATTCTTCTATGCTTCTAACTAATCGCTTTAGCATCTTTGAACATACAAAGTATTTATTTTACCTCTCTGAAGTCAAAGCCTGGCACTCAGCAACAATACAATGAGAATTGAGCATTTTCTTCAACAGACTTCCATTGGAGCGTAAGTTCCCGTATTTTTTGATCATGTATTTTATTTGAACTCCAGTGAGGTTGTACTATTTATCACATGAGCCACATTAGCTCAAGTAAATTAATTAATTCTAAGATTGACATTATTTGTTAGAATGGTAACTAATAAATGTTGAATGACACTCCAAAATTCTGTACCATGGTTCAAGATGATAGGTGCACAAATGCATAATATATTAGTAATTATTTCAACCAAATGAAAACTATGTCCAGAACTGATTAATTATGAGGCTTAAACTGCCTAAATGCCCAGCAATATCCATTATATGCAAGGCGTGTGCCAATTTGGGGTGCAGGCCGTGCATAAGGCTGGTACTCAAAAACTAAACATATTTTGCTCTCTAAACATGATGCTATGAATTTAGACAATCACATCCTTCCTATGTATCCTTGCTTGGGATCCAGTCTGTACATGACTTGAAAGATGGATAAACACTCTGAAGAGCATGTTTCTACTGTATATATGTGAATGTGTGTGCATGTATCTATATACACATTATTAGTTCTTAGGGTATGTAAATACATAACTGCAAAAATGCAGTCAGATACCTTTTTTTTCTTTTTTCTTTTTTCTTTTCGACCTGTAGCAAGGATTATCAACAGCCTTGGATGCTATTAACAGAACAGGAATCATCACATTTTCATAAATTAATTTTAGCTAGGGCCTAAACACCCCTGACCATAGAAGAGCTACCCTTTCACCTGTCAAGTTGTTTCTTAGCTTTTAAGACTTTCACCATAGCATTTCACATTTTCCTCAGTAGCAAAATATGTTGTGCACCTTAAAAGATTCAGTTCCTGGACACCCTGTGACCCCATTAATGCCAAGTTTGGCATTAAGTGGCTTTCATACTGCCCAAGTATGACATACTGCCCAAAAAAAACACAGTGCATGATCACAAAGCACAGCCAAGCAGCTTAGGCTCCATGTCTGACTCACAAAACATCATCTCCCCCCCCCCCAAAAAAAAAGAAACAAAAAACCACCCACACACCATAAAATAAAACAAACAAAACAATCTGCTTGTTAAACATTGCTGTTACGTTATTGCACAGCTAAAATTAATAGCACACATTTTTATACATTTAAAACCCAGAAGTAAAATGAGCTGAATGGAATGTACGCCAGTATAAGAAGAAGAGGTTAATAAATTAATTATGTTGCTCAAAGATTTAAGAATTTATTGGTATGCTGTATCAGTTAGTCACTGTTTCCTAGAATGATGCTGGCAACAGCAACATGCATGCAATTAGCAATAGAAGTATAATCCAGAAAGCTACATGTACCAGCTCGGAGGTTTCCTGAAATGCAGGATGAGAAGCAAGTTGCTTGGAAGGTCTGTCAGGTTCAGAGAGATGAATGCTGGAACCATGCTGTTGAGTTTCATATACAGGTTGCTAGAATACAACCAATGAGTTTTTATTAGGAAAACTTTTTTCCCCTCTCCAGTTTCCTTATAATGAGAAAGCACACAAGACAAAATGACCTCAGTCTTGGAATTTGGGAAAGCAGAGGGCAGGAGTACAATGTGACCAAGGACAAAATTCATCTCACGTAGCTTTAGCTATCAAAATGGCACTGAATCTAAGCTCCTACTATAATCAGTCTAGGATAAGTATCTCCAGAGAGCAGCTCATCTCATCTTTAAAATAGTTGCAAGACTGTCTGGCATTCTTCAGGGATTACAGGAACAGCTTGGAAAACGAGCTCACAGTAGATGCCTACCATTCACAAGGCCAAATTTAAATAGAAAAAAAACAAACAACAACAAAAAAAAACCCAACCAATTTCAGGATTCTAGATTGCTCTATAACTTGAGCTTTGTAAGCATAGAACAAGAACAGTACGTTGTGCTCTGTAACAAAATCAAAATGGGCTGCCCAAAAAATACCACCCCAAATATTTGCCTTTGCTAGATGTCAAAATAAACAAGTAGACAGCCCCCATTCTGAAGTCTTTTCAGTCAAAAGCAAAACAGTCTACACAAGACTACTGAAGCTATGCAACAGTCAGATGATGGTGTTCCTCCGAACAGAATCTTTCTATTCATTTCAAATTAATACAATCTTCTGATAAACCAATCCTGCTTTACTTTTTTAATTACAGTGCAGTATGTTTAAATGTGCATGAGAGTATTTTAAATGAACATGTATTTTTTTTTTTTTTTACCCCAAGTAGCATCTTAAAAACGTTTCCTTATTTGACTTGAGTACTTCCAACAGACAGATGCATCAGGCACACAAGATTAAAATTATTAGCAAATGATATTTGAACTGTAAGGCTGGAATGTTTATAGTTTTCCTTCAGCCTCTTTTCACTCAGGCTGGAAAAGAAGGGAGCAGAGCATACAGTTTTATGGAGTAACTACAATCTGAAGTGCAGAAACACTGAATATAATAAAACATTTATCTTTCTAGAGAATGGCCCACAAATCAAAGCAGCAGATGATGTTATGCCACTGATTTTTATTTTTTTTTTCCCTCTCAGTTTTACCTTGCTATGTCGTGGCTCATCATACAAACAACTTACACCTCAGAAATATTGTTCTGTTATCTCCAATTAAATTCCTGCACAAAATAAGGAGCATCATTGCAACAGAAATACCCAAATACATGAAGAGTGACAAAAGAAGAAGAACAGTGCAGTGATCATTAGGGATTTCCTTCAAAGATATTCCTTGCTGCCCAAATCAGAGAAATCTGGGGAACACTTTTCAGAGTCAATACTTCTGGGGAAGGAAAAAAAAAAAGAGGGGGGGAGGGGGGAATATTCTAGCTTTAGATATATTCATTTACAGGACTGTGAATATTCAAAAGATTGACTGGTTAATGGAATTTCTTTTTACTATGTTTTATTAAGTACCGACCTATTTTCAATATAGAGCTTCTTGGTAAGATTTAGTGCAAACTCAACCTCTGGATATGACCAGCAGACATAACTAAAACCTAAAGCAAATAAATGTTCTTCAGACTATTTCTGATGATAGCAAGAAAATTCTAACACAAAAAAAAAAAAAAACAAACAACTTATTTCAGTATATCATTTTACTTTGTTACTTAATACAGGAATAAACAGCATACTTACAGCTTCGAAACCGAGTTCCTCAGAGGAACATGCCGTGGGATCTGCTTCATATGCCTGCTCTGGAAATACAGGCATTTGCAGAGAATTGGCCACAGAAGGATCAACTTTTTTCAGTGTAATTTCAACTCCACTGAAAGTATGCTAGCAAAAACAAGAGCAACCCATCAATGAAATAAAATTCTGCAGGAAATCACTATCTGACTTAGAACAGATTCATTTCCTTGTGTGGTTTTCAACTTTGAAGTTAATACATTTTAAAAAAAATTGTGGTCACAGATTCAGAGCATATTTCAATTTAGATTTATTAACTGAAGATTACACTGCCATCATCAGGGGGGTAAATCCAGCAGATATTTCTATCTTCATGTTACCCTAGCTGAAATATTTATTCACTGCCCAATTAAAAAAATAATAAATTAATGGAGAACATTAAATACAAGATCAAAACCCACCCACTTATTCCTCTGCCTTCCAATCTGTCATCAGGTTTATAAACCAAATTCCTTTCCAGAGCTTTGATGGTAATTGTCCAACTAATTTTATGGGACTGTGCAATTTGTTCAACGTAGTTAATATTCAACAAACACTAAGAAAATATTTATATATGCATAAAAGTGACCTAAATTGTCTCATCTGATACCAAATTAAGAATTGCATCCTGCTTCTACTTACTAGTTTATAATGTAGGTTTCCAAGAAAGTGTTTATCAACAGCTTTTTATTCTATTCATGAAAACCATACATTGTTGCACTTCCTTTGATGAAAAGAAGTGTAAAGAGTACAGTAAATGCTTGATGACATGCAACTCATATAATACCCTAAATGTAATTAAACAGTGACTTTTCAAATCCAATTTGTTACGATGCTTATAAAGTAAAAGATAACATAGGTCTGAAAATGTAAGTTTTACTCTAGTTCAAGGCCTAGTTTGAGGTATAAACCATGTTAGCTTCAGAAAGTCAGAAGTCTGTTTCACAGTCAGATGATTACCTTTTCTGCCTACCTTGCACTGTATTTTGTGTTTAATTTGCAGAATGTATATATGCATACTTCCATATAAACTCCTCATCAGTTAAGAAAGGGAGTGGAAAAAAATTTGTAAAGCTACAAGTGCCAGACATCTTTCTTAAACTGTTAGTTTAGCAGAGATGGCTTTTAGAGGAACCTATTACCAATTCACACACGTGTTTTCCCATATAATTATTTCCTCTGGCAAACATGATTTTCAGAACTTTTGCTGTGATTCCAGTATATGCCCACAAACTCCTTGATAGTTACCTTCCATTCCTCAGATTCTGATTCTTCCATCTTTTGAAATTTTTCTAACAACGGCAATATACTGGCACTGTATATGTTCCACCAGAGGGCAAGAAATGACAGCTGATGGAAAGATCCAGAGGTGGTGCCATCTTGCATAACTCTCTTTGTTTGAAGGTTGTATTTGTAGTTCCAGGGCTTTGTTGCTCCCAAGAAGTGAACAACTTTGGTATCTCTACCAAAACTGTAGGAATTAAACATACAAAACCATACATTAAAGATGATTTTTTAGCTAAAGTAATACACTTACTCTCACTGGTGTGGTGAGAGTACTTTGCAACAAAAATACATTTAATCTAAAATATAGTATCTCATGTGGTACGCAGTAAAAGAAAAGGCTAACATTGCCATTACTTCTAGCTACCAATTCTAGTGGAAAATTTCCTGAAGGAAACTGAAAGGCTCATGTTGTCCTGATTCTGAGTCTTGTCGCA